TTGATACTTCACATGCCATCTCGCAGGGTCAAATCTGATCTCCCTCATGGAAGAGTACAATAGTCGTAGTCTTTCTTCTCTCTCTTGTTCACAGAGTGGGCACATGCGCTCGAGCCGGACAGTGTGCAGGGGATGTACACGACCTTCTTCGCAAGTCGGCTGGGTATCGTTGTCCTCTAGAGCTGGAAGATTCGGCGGCGAAGTTCTGGCTCTTGAAGTGATTGTAGGTGAGGTCGTGTGCGACGAGGCAGTTCTACCATCTGCGTTTGGAGTCAGGAAAGCGTCGGTAGTTGACAGAAGATCTGTGTGATATGTCGTGTTATGGTCTGCTTGTATAGCAGAGTGTAAATTCTGCGAAGTATCTCCGTACGTGGTTGTTTTGTCTGTTCTTTCGGTGGAGTCATCGTCTGGCACCAACGTCATTTGCGAGTCTCTGCCCTTGCGACTGCTTCCCGAGGCACTCTCGCCTCCGGTAGCTAGATCTTTATGTTGTGTTGATGGCGAATTCGACTTCTTTGCGCTCTTCGTCTGCGCATCCTTACAGTGCCTAACCGGCGTCTCTGAAAAAGTTGAGTGACCGCAGCCAACAAAGATGTAAAGTCGATAGTAGCACATTGCGTTGACGTTGACAACAGACTCTGTCTAGGAACATGGGGCTTTGTTTAAGATGTTGGTGTAGTGAGTGGTGATTGCTCGCTGAACACGCTGTTATGAAACGTGTACCAGTAATGCTTTGTCTACTTCACCGCGAACAAGTCTAATTTCGTATTGACAAAGACTCACCGGAGGGTCAGACCCTGTGGGCAAACGGGAGTGTGAGTAAGAGCACACTATGACGGGAACGCATTGACACTTCTATGTGCCTACGCGGCTGTCATATTACAATTTCACATACAGTGGTATCTTGAACGAACTATTGAAGGATGTTGACACGAACACCTACGCTATGCTTGATGCTACAAAGAATCGTTGAGAATTCATCATACCGCTGTCTCCTTCTCTTTCGCGACATCAGGATTGCTTGCCTGCGCCTCAGGGTCGAGCGGTAATGACCCCTTACTGGCCCTCTTCCTCCGCCTCTCTGCACGCTCGGCTTCCCTCTCGAGCCTCTTTGCCTTTTCTACCTCGATTCCAGTCTTGGTCTCTTCGTGCTGTTTGTCGAGCTTGTTACGCGTGATTAAGAGGCTGACTACGAGACCCACGACAGCAAATGCGACGTAGAGTATCCACATGGTGCTCAGCGAATCTGCGAATGCCTTTCGCGCAACAAACTTTTGCTCATCGGGGAGGGACTGAATAATCCCGACGTTGGCGCCGGCGGAACCTCCACCGAACCTCGACGCAGTTTCGGGACCGAGCGAAGTGGCCAGTTGAGACTGCTTCGACTTCATCTCGTTGTTGAAGATGACCCCACCTACAACGACCGAGATGGCGCTACCAAGGTTCCGAGTAAAGCCGAATGTTGCAGTCGCAGTAGCGATGTCGCGTTTCTTGGAGCATGTCAGCATCGGTAGACTAACGAATGGCAACTATGGTTGCTCTACCGCAACCCCGCCTCTAGTGTCATGTGTAATGATCACATGTGCAGGCGCAGAAAAAGAAACTTTTGATGGAACTTACCGGTACGAGACTCTGGAGTGCAATGAGCGGTGATTGAAAGTTTGGACCGACACCAATTCCAGCAATGATCTGATAGACGATGATCTTTGCCCAAGAACTATTGACGTCAAAGTCGATGAAAAGTCCAAAGCCCAGTGTCATCATAATCATGCCAAACCAGATCATAGGTAGATACTGCCCGGTTTTCTTGATGAAGATACCAGTGAAAGCAGAGAGGAATGAGAGTGAGACTGCGGTAGGCAGTAGATACACTCCCGAAAGAATAGGTGTCGCGCCAAGCACAGCCTGGAAGTAAAGTGGGAGGAAGTAGTTGCCGCTGATGAAGACGAAGGAGTGGAAGAAGCAGGTAGCCAACGCAGCCAAGTTCGATCGCTTCGAGAAGAGATCGAGGGGCATGAGAGGATACGGTGCTACCCGCCACTCAATGGCGAAGAAGATGCCAATGACTACGGCTCCGAAGATGATGAGACACAGCACTGTGGCAGAATCCCAAGGATGTGAGATGCCTCCGAATTCCAGGCCGAGGAGCAGCATAATGACTCCACCGACCATGGCGAGCGAACCCAGCCAATCGACAGCTTTGAGGCCTTCACGGAGCGGAGTCTTTGGTGTCTTGACATCGAGGAAGAACAGGAGGATGAGGAACGCAACACCGTCGAAAGGTAGATTGATGTAGAAGCACCATCTCCACGAGACCTTTTGCGTGAAGAGCCCTCCAACAACAGGTCCTAGAGAACTCGCCAAGGCCCATACACCGCCGATGATTCCAAAGTATGCACCTCGGTCCCGCACAGAGAAAAGGTCGGATATGGTAATGTTGACCAGTGTGATGAGACCTCCACCACCAATACCCTGTATCACCCTTGCAGCGATCAACATATCCATGTTGACAGCCACGCCTGCAAGGAGGGAACCGACGAAGAAGATGGCGTTTGTGAGCAACAGGATGGGCTTTCGTCCGAAGATATCAGAGATCTTGCCCCAGATTGGCGTGGCTGCTGACTGTGCGATGAGGTACGCCGAGCCTATCCATGTATATCCCGAAGCGCTGTTGAACTCTGCGGAAATCGTGGGTAGGGCGGTCGTGACGATGGTAATATCCAGGGCAACGAGTAGAACCGCCACAGCCAGAGAAAGCATGATCAAGAAGATCTGTAGCTTCGTTCTCTGAGGGAATTCATCTTGCGCACCAGGTGCGCCCGGTGCAACAGCGGCGCCATTCGCTCCAGTAGCGCCCTCTTCTACAGTCTTCTCTCCATTTTGTGTTGTTCCGTCTCTCTCGGTGAGACTGACATCGGTCGAAGAAGTCGTGATATCGTGACGTCCGTTCGGCGCGTTCGAGTCGAGGTGTGAGTCCCCAGCTGGGGCTGGCGCATCGTGTGTTGCGCTCATATTATGAGTGCTAAGGAATGACTATTATAAAGTTTACGTGTGACGCGGCCGTGACATGTTATAAAGGCGCACACAAGGCTGAGTGCAGAACTGAGTGCAAAACGTTTGCGACAGGCGATGACACAAACTGGGTCGCTTTCGCGCCTCTCGGGGCTCTCGAACACCGACGCGACATGCGTCATGGCGCTACATACTGCGCTGAGATCGATCGCACGAGCTGGATCATTCCCGTTCTGCATTTTACCGGAAATAAATCCCAGGGGCTGCTGCAGTTCGCAGATAGCATAAATGCTCGCGAGATTGCTGTGCGAGACGATGTGCGACTGATAAAGCCCCTTTGACGTTCGTGGTCGTTGGAGAGGCGCGGCTTGGCCCTGCAAACTGATGAACCGTCCATGACGAGGCTATTGCTGTGCGACGTTGCACAGACTGACCAAGTCTGCCACGCCGTTGGGGAACGCATGGCTTATCTTCGGGTTGCTACAAATGGTATTTCCATTATCGATGTGTGGTGGACTGCCATGCGGCTGGAGCAGCGGCATGGACGCAGTGCCACTGAAGAGCCGGGGGCAAAGACATGGTTGCAAATGCCGCGGAGAGAAAGGACGACAGGAGTACGACTGTACTTTAACATGTTGTGTTGCTGATGTTCACACCAAGGCCCTAACGAGATGATTCCTTTTGAACCCCGACTCATCCCCACTGTAATACCCGTGGGTAGTTTGTTCTTCGCTTCTTCGCGCGCTCTAGGGTGAGCTATGATTAGCAAGGCGAGGGCTAGCAGAGGACCATTTCATGGTTGCACGCAGCACGGAGCTTGCGAAGGAGTTTGGTCCTGATACGAAACGTACTAAAGTCGTCTGCAGTCCTTTATTTTGTTAAAACTATGGCATCTGGCAAGGCGAGCAGTTTAAATCGCGCTTTAGTATGGGGGAAAATCCTTGATCCACGCGAAATGTGTGTCTTGACCAAGATTTAAGTGCTTTTGGCTTGTCGTGCTTTCTGAGCGGTCTGGAGGTCGACCAAGAAGATATCAAGGCAAGATTGAAGTGTTGAAGTTCGATCGATGAGCAGCGCGTCATTCTCCACAAAATCCCCAGGCGCCGAGAGAGGAAGCGCATGTGGAGGAGCAGGTGTTTGGACGAGAAGCATGGATGGTTTTCGTCATACTGCTGTATGCTGAGCATCGGTGAAGTGATGGAGCAGAGGCATCGTGTTGAGAGGCTAAGTGAAGGCTAAGTTAACCTGCATCTGAGTGGGGGGTGCATCGCAGTGCATGGCTTTGGCGTTCGCCGTCAACGTCGTTGGAGCCGGGGGAAACGAGGGTGAGCACACATGCGCAGCTGGCTCTTAAGGTTCTCAAGGTTCTCCGCAGTTCACTTTCGGCGCTGCTGAGGTGCAGCAACGGCCGGCGCATCTCGGAAATGAGGCAGCCCCCGGCACTGTGTCGCGACAGGATGTGAAAGGCGCCTCCACGCGAGGGTGCTAGCGACGGTCTAGACTACACATGCTTCTGTTGGGCATCTGCAGGCTGATCACCGAAAGGCCTTCTGCAGCTACCCCGTAGGTGCAGCGAAGCGTGCTTGGAGGGCAAACGGATGCGCAGCGGCAGAGCGGTCGGTCCTTTGTGGCTTGAAGGCGAGGGGTGACGTGAAAGGCTGGACGGGACCCCAGAGTAGCCCTGGTGTGAGGGTGCAGGGGCGCCTCTTCAGGTTTCCAGAGTTCGTGGCTAGGCCAGTGCCGCTACTCCGCTTCGTGGTTCTGTCTCGACAATCTCCGCACCTCCCACTGCTCAACAGCTGCCTTTACATCCGCCGTTGCGTCGTCAGCCCGATTCCTGGCCACGCTCCACTGCACCTCCGTCCCCGCACGCCCATACATACCAAGTCACGACCGCATGTCTACGCCGAACAATCTGAGATTTTCCCTCGCCGCCGCCGGGCCCACGCTGTGATAGATATTGAGGCATTGACCCGCACCCGCCCGGTATGACGGCCATGCTGTCGCTCCCGCGAGACAACCCGCCCTTCCAGCGCTCGCCCTCGTCCGCGTCCCTCGCCTACGACACCTACACGCCCATCCGCAAGAACCAGTACTCGCTGCCCGACCTGCGCTCGCCGTCGCTGAGCGGCTCCTCGCGCACCTCGTCCATGCACTCGACGCCCTCCAGCAGCGTCTCGCTCGATCCCAAGTCAGACGAGTCGAGCAGCGAAGACGATGGCCTGGCGTTTCCCAATTACACCTCGGCGCGGCAGTACAGAAAGGGAAAGGGTGTTGCAAAGGGCAAGGGCATCAGTCACGGCGTCACGCCCATCGACATGGCCTCGTTGAAGCCTGCATCCTCAGCCATGCGCCCGGGCTCGCTGCCTTCACCGTCGCCGACCGAAGGCTTCTCCTCCGACACTCCCATGACCACGCCAGACCCCATGCCCATGTCCGAAGACGACACGGCCGTGCGCAAGGAGCCCTCACACCACGTCGACTACCTCTCGTACGAGTGGCGCGAGGAGGACATCTGGTCGTCGTGGCGGCACATCGTCGAGCACCGCAGCGTCTACGGCGAGCGCTCCAGGCTCGAAAATGCCTCGTGGCGAACGTGGGCCAAGGCCCAGTTTAAGCTCAAGACCATCTCGCCCGAGACATTGAATTGGTGAGTCCCGAATATTTCGATCTGCAGCCACGGCAGGGGTGTCGATCACCCCCATCCGTGCACCATCTTGCAGATTTTTTAACTCTTGGGCACTGCTAACGAATCACCAGGCTCAAAGACGTTGACGTGACCTGGCTGTACGGGCCCATGCAGCCTGCCTCAAATCGCTTCTGCTCGCAGCAGAATTCCGAGCCAGCCAGCCGCCTGTCCAAGACGAACTCCTTCGTCAATGGCGTCAAGAAGCCAATTCTCAAGAAGCGCAGCATGTCCGAGGCCATGCTGCAAAAGTCACTGTCGTCGTCGTCACTGCTGCAACAAGCGGCCGAGTCGGTGCAGGCCCAGCAAACAACCGGTGTGACGCTGGAGTTGCGACGGCCCCGACCAATCATCGGCCGTGTAACCCCCGACTTCCCCACATCTTCCACATTGTCCCGAGGCCTGCTTTGGGAAGGCACGGACTACTTCTCCTCAAAGTCCACCTCCGGACTGCACACTCCCGATCACGGGGAGAAGCGGCACATCCGCTTCGACGACAAGGTCGAGCAATGTATCGCCGTCGAGTGCAAAGACGCCGACGATGAGGAGGATGACTGCAACCACAACCCCTGGGCCAAGTACCAGGAAGCGGATTCCTCGTCGGACGAGGGCGTCGTCATGATGAAGCGGTCGCGCCGGAAGAAGCCTCTTTCACGGACTGCCTCGTCCGTCAGCATCAGCACGGACAACAAGACCATTGCTAAGCTTCCATCGACGACGCTCAAGTACCGGACAGACTCTCCCGACGTTCCCGAGACGCAGCAACATCACTCCCTCGCCATGTGGAAGTCGCGCAGCGGGCTCTCTCCGTCGCCGTCCTCCGAGACCCTGAAGCCGTCAAATCCATCACGAAATTTCCTGCTGGAAGAAGACGACGAAGAGAGTGAGGAGTTCCTCAAGCCCTCTAGCGCTTACGGCTCAAAAAGGGCCGGCACTCCCACTGCTTCGGATCCGTACTCATTGCGCCGGAGTGGGTCGTCAGCCTCACTGGAAAGCGGCGCACTACGAAGAACACCATCCGGCATGTTCATGCCATTTGAAGGCGACGAAGAAGAGCCTTTACCACCCACTCTCATCGGCAGAGTTGTTGACACCGTAAATACTGCACGCGACATAGGCCATGTCATATGGAATGCGGCATGGAGTAATTAGAACTTTGACTTTAGCGTATGGCGTTCGCGGCTTTGTACTACTTGCGGGATGGACTTGGGAACAGGTAGCATACATACGCAGACCACATCTTACGACCTGGCTAGGCGGCGGAGTTTTGGGAATACCTACACTGAAGCGCCGTTGGCTGCATGCATTGGTGTGACTATGGATTTAGCTCACCTACAATCGATACCACATACGTTCAATGACGTTCAATGACAGTACTGGGTGATGCAGTGTGTTGTGTTGGTCGTACAGCGCATGAGCGTGATCGATGCGAGTTTGTTGTGCACAACGTGGCCTGTTTGAAGTATCTCCTTGAGATTCGAAAAGCAGCCTGAACTGTGTTCCTTATCTTGGGACCTTTGGATTCGGGGTTGACGTGTGGAGAACACGTTTGTTCTTCCCGAGGTCTGCACTAGCGCCGCGGACACAGAATCCTGGAAAGAGCGATCGTGAGCAAACACCTAGGCAGGTGCATGGGCTATTAGCACTTCTTGACCACTTGACAGTAATTGCCTGTAATGAAGTCCTCAAGTGAAAGTGTATCAGATCTGGCCAGCTGGCGTGAAAGCCATTCGAGAAGCATCCATAACCCTGGAGCATAACCGTGCATGGGTCGCGGCGCTAGTGGGGAGCTCCAAGGGCCCGCTTCCTGCCACATTTCACTAAGGTGGCCTTTCTGTGTACTGGGCATTTAACTGTCACCTTGCCCCAACGTTGATTCCGTGAACTCTTCTCCTCCACTTCAACCCTCAACCAAGGCAAGCACAATGCGTTTTGCAATTGGCGCCACCGTTGCGCTCGCTGCCGCCGTTGTGCGCGCAGACGACGCCAGCTCCTCCGAGTCAGCGTCTTCTTCCTCGACCACGGTCGCAAAGCCGACCTTTACTGTACGTCTCTGAATCAGTCACGTAGCCGAGGCTCTCTCTAACACTCGTATAGCCCACAAAACTCAAGGCACCTTTCCTCGAGCAGTTCACCGACGACTGGGAGTCCCGATGGAACCCCTCACACGCGAAGAAGGACGTCAAGGCTGATGACGAGGAATGGGCATACGTTGGCACTTGGTCCGTTGAGGAGCCTTCCGTACTGAAGGGTATGGAGGGTGACAAGGGACTGGTCATCAAGGACAAGGCGGCTCACCATGCCATCTCTGCCAAGTTCCCCAAGGCCATTGACAACAAGGATGACACCCTTGTTGTTCAGTACGAAGTCAAGCTTCAGGGTAGGTTTTCCAGCCAAATTTGGGATATCACGTTATTCTAACAACGGACAGATGGCCTCGAGTGCGGTGGTGCGTACATGAAGCTCCTTCAGGACAACGCAGCCCTCCACGCTGAGGAGTTCTCCAACGCTTCTCCCTACATCATCATGTTCGGACCCGACAAGTGCGGTGCTACCAACAAGGTACGGTGCTTCTCTCAATATAGCCAATTACGCTGACATTTCTAGGTTCACTTCATCTTCCGCCACAAGAACCCCAAGACCGGCGAGTACGAGGAGAAGCACCTCAAGAACCCTCCCATGGCTCGTATCGTCAAGACCACCAGTCTCTACACTCTCATTGTCAAGCCCGACCAGAGCTTCGAGATGAAGATCGACGGCGAGTCCGTTCGCAACGGAACCCTCCTGGAGGACTTCACTCCCTCCGTCAACCCCGCTGAGGAGATTGACGACCCCAACGACACAAAGCCTGAAGACTGGGTTGACGAGGCCCGCATCGCTGACCCTGAGGCTACCAAGCCCGAGGACTGGGATGAGGATGCGCCGTTCGAGATTGTCGACGAGGAGGCCACCAAGCCTGAAGACTGGCTTGAGGATGAGCCCACCACCATCCCCGACCCCGAGGCTGAGAAGCCCGAAGACTGGGATGACGAGGAGGATGGTGACTGGGTTCCTCCCACCGTTCCCAACCCTAAGTGTGACGAGGTTTCTGGCTGCGGCAAGTGGGAGCCTCCTATGAAGAAGAACCCTGCCTACAAGGGCAAGTGGACCGCTCCCTTCATCGACAACCCGGCTTACAAGGGCGTCTGGGCCCCCAAGAAGATCGCCAACCCTGACTACTTCGAGGACAAGACCCCTGCCAACTTTGAGCCCATCGGTGCTGTAAGTTGACCCTATCTTGATTTCACGGACTCTTTGCTAATATGCCGTAGATTGGTTTCGAAATCTGGACCATGCAGAAGGACATTCTCTTCGACAACATCTACATTGGCCACTCCATCGACGACGCTGAGAAGCTCAAGGCTGAGACCTTCGATCTCAAGCACCCCGCTGAGAAGGCTGACGAGGAGGCCAACAAGCCCAAGCCCAAGGACACACCCAAGTCGCCCTCTGACCTCGTCTTCAAGGATGACCCAGTCCTTTACGTCAAGGAGAAGGTGGCCCTCTTCCTCGAGATCGCCAAGCGCGACCCTGTTGAGGCTGCCAAGTTCGTCCCTGAGGTCGCTGGTGGTATTGGTGTTATCGCTGTCACCATCTTCGCTATCCTTGCCTCCGTTCTTCTCGGCTCTGGTGCCGCTCCTTCCAAGGAGCAGGTCAAGGCCCAGGCAAACAAGGCCAAGAAGTCTGCTGTTGACGCTAAGGACAAGGCCGCCGAGGCCGTCGCTACTGGATCTGAGAAGGCCCAGGCTGAGATCAACAAGCGCACCACTCGCTCAAACGCTTCATAGGCAGTATTGGCTGTTGAGCGAAAGGAGTAGTACCCTGTTGGGAGATACAGAGTACGAGGAACAGACTACCAAAAAGTGTGGTTCAGAGGGCATTTCTTCGCCCCATCCCCGATTGGATTCCTGATTTGCAGTTACACGTCATTTCGAGGTTCTCGGCGCTATGATTATGTATTGAGGCTTTGTTCCTGAAAATGGGATGTTCAACTCCCCGGGTCACAGGCTGGGAGATAGGGAGTGTAGAAACATATGTTCAGATTTCATCGATAAGCCTATGACTTGTTTGAATGTGTGCTGTTACTCAGCTTCTTCTCGTGTCTCCTCTTCTCGCACGCTTCACTTGCCCTTGTCGCTGACGTCCAGTTCCTCATCGCCTGTATCGGCGGGATCCTCTTCATCACTGTCATCAAACATATCTTCGTTGCTAGCGTCAGAGTCGCTGGTATCGGGGTCCTCTTCGTCGCTAGACAAGATTACCTGCGGCTCATCCAGTACATAGTAATCTTCAATCTCGTCAATCTCGTCATTTTCCGCGTCTTCTACTTCCGACAAGCAGCGTATGCCTCCTCGTACTTCTCTTCGCGGGACAGGTTAGTCACGGCGTGGAACCTGTCGGCACACACCTCATCAAGCGGGCTGAGGGGCGGCATAGTCGCAGATATTGTCAACGTTCTGGTAATGGCGTGGTGCAGGTGGGGGAATAACCGTTAGAGTAGATATCTATCCAATCGACACTGACTTTGCGTTTGAGCGAGTCCCTGTCGATTTCAGCGTCTCCACCATGCACATGTGCCCCGCAAAATGTAACCCCAAAGCGACATCCCGGATGCGTTCCCGTATCCGTCGACCAACCATGGAGTTGAAGCGCCATCACGAAGAGAGTCCCAAAGTGGAGACGGTTGTATTCGACGTGAGCAATCATTTTCGGGATGCATCCATCCTTACGAGCCGTACTAGTATTGATATTTTGTAGACTGTCTACATCGATCAGCGCACCAAAAGGAACAAACACAGAGTCATTGGGGAAAAACGGTCGCAGTCTGGGCACCGTCGTCGCTAACAATTGCACCTCTGTATTGGACCGTGTCTACTTTTGGAACGAACCTAGGAGTCGCTCCATGGTCAAAAGGCAGGCTGCAGCAACGACATCTACGACAGCAACGTCTGTAGAGGTACCAGATCAGCTATGATCTCGAGCCTGCACGCACAGAGCAGTACGCCGCTGAGCATGCTACTCAAAAGTCTATTTTACCACGGGATACTGAGTTACAGCAACGTGCAAGAAGACCCAATCTAGTTCATGTAGCGCGCACTTCTGGAGGTCAATATCGGGATGCTCTACGACCCTAGCTACGGGAAGCATACCTAGGTATCTTGAATGTGCTGGATAATGTTTGGGCAACGGACAAAAGTGTATGCGCTCCTACGAAGAAGGTGCGGCGTCCCAGGGTTCTTGGCCATATTTTGCATGTAAGAATATGGATAAAAGATACACTCTCCAACTCGACAGCCATATGAAATGTGAAGATGTGTGTATCAGTGTATGTGAAAGTGGGGCAGTTGATGACATAAACGCTGCACACGCCGCGGAAGAGAGACCACCGACCTCGGGAGCTGGTTATCGACGGATGCGCAGCTGGCATTGCGGGGAGAGTTCGGCTGTACACGCTGCTGCTATGAAAGGCAACCCGGATTCACTTTCCCTATAGCCGCAAGTGCCGGTTGTTTACTACGTGGTTTCTTCTTTGATTAGGTTCAATCTCCATTGCTTGATCCTGCAGAAGACTTGTTCCACTTCAATTGCGTCTTCCAAGGTTGCGTTGAGCTTACCTTGCTCCCAATCATGTTCTCTCGTCGCGCGCTTTCACGCCTCCCAACATTGAGTGCTCGCTCGTCTGTCGCGCGCGCGGCCCCTCTCTGTACGAGAATGTCGTCGCCAGTCAGCCAAAGTAAAGTCGCCGCACGGCGGCTGCATGCCACGGCGCAGCACCTGAAGCCCGCATCGTCAGCGGCCCAGTCGTACCCCATGGACCACGAGCCAATCCAGTCGCCCGCGGACACACCAAACTTCCTCGACAATAAGTTCGTGGCATCGAAAGCAACACAATGGATAGATCTACATGACCCCGCGACCAACAACCTGGTTACACGCGTGCCGCAGAGCACAGACGAGGAGCTCAAGGCCGCGGTGGACAGCGCTGAGAAGGCCTTCAAGCCATGGAAAGAGACCAGCTTGCTTCACAGGCAGCAGATTCTTTTCAAATACACACACTTGATTCGCGAGAACTGGGACCGTTTGGCTGCTAGCATCACACTGGAACAGGGCAAGACATTTGGAGACGCGCGTGGTGATGTGCTTCGCGGCTTGCAGGTTGCGGAAACCGCATGCGGTATCACAACACAGATGACTGGCGAAGTCCTCGAGGTCGCCAAGGACATGGAGACACGCAGCTACAGAGAGCCATTGGGTGTTGTAGCTGCCATTTGCCCTTTCAGTAAGTGCACGACTGGCGGTAAATGAGGTTTGTGCTGATGTGCTACCCCAGACTTCCCCGCTATGATTCCCCTCTGGACCATCCCCATCGCTGCTGTTACCGGTAACACTGTCGTTATCAAGCCCTCGGAACGCGACCCCGGCGCTTGCATGATCCTTGCCGAGCTTGCGGAGAAGGCTGGATTCCCCGCTGGTGTAATCAACATTGTACACGGTTCAGCCAAGACAGTTGACTTCATCATCGACGAGCCCCGCATCAAGGCGATAAGCTTCGTCGGTAGCAACAAGGCTGGAGAATACATCTATTCGCGCGCATCGGCCCAGGGCAAGCGTGTTCAGGCCAACTTGGGCGCAAAGAACCACGCTGCTGTCCTTCCCGACTGCAACAAGAACCATGCTCTGAACGCGATTGCCGGTGCTGCCTTTGGCGCTGCTGGTCAGCGATGCATGGCTTTGAGCACTCTGGTCATGATCGGCGAGACCAAGGAATGGGTTCCTGAGATCGCTGAGCGCGCAAAGGAACTGTCGATGAACGGCGGTTTTGAGGAGGGCGCCGATCTTGGTCCCGTCATCAGCCCTCAGTCCAAGAAGAGGATTGAAGACCTTATTGCGAGCGCCGAGGAAGAGGGTGCGACTATCCTCCTTGACGGACGTGGTCAGAAGCCTCCGTCCGACAAGTACGCCAACGGCAACTGGGTAAGTCTTGCTGATATGTGAGAATGATCGCATACTGACTGGGCTGTTCAGGTCGGTCCTACCATCATCGCCAACGTCAAGCCACACATGAAGTGCTACACCGAGGAGATCTTCGGCCCTGTCCTTGTCTGCCTAAACGTCGAGACCATCGACGAGGCTATCGACATGATCAACGCAAACGAGTATGGTAACGGTACCGCCATCTTCACTCGCTCAGGTGCCACTGCGGGCAAGTTCCAGCGTGAGATTGAAGCCGGTCAGGTTGGTATCAACGTACCCATTCCCGTACCTGTAAGTTTTCTTTGTAACCAAACGTAACGAATAATCGCTAATATCAGCAGCTCCCCATGTTCTCCTTCACTGGCAACAAGAAGTCGGTCGCAGGCGGCGGTGCAAACACTTTCTACGGAAAGCCAGGTCTCCAGTTCTACACACAACAGAAGACCGTAACAAGTCTTTGGAGGAGTGAAGATGCGGTCGCGACGAAGGCATCGGTCAATATGCCTACACACAGCTAGTGGGGGGACGTGAAAAAGGATAAAGCATATGTAATGGATATGATGAGCATATAGCACTCATGAACGAATAAATGATGGCTAGCGCGCAAGGGTCATGTTCACGGGGAGCAAAGTGATGCAAGCCCACCCGAGTTAACAGTGGGAATCTTGGCGCGTTGGAAACGTCGGCAAAGCCGCGCCGTGCCTATCGAAGTGCTTGACGTATCCTAGGTGACGATGATAGTATCCACAGCCCCGCGCGTAACCCATGTCGCGATCTTCCATGGCTTTTGTTAAAGATGGGATTTGACACACGAAGAACAGCGGCAAAATGCAAGCTGTCCATGTTTGTCAGAGATTCTGCAAGAGTCCGGCTACGCGGCTAGATTTCTGCTGGTTGCTGGATTGAAGGGACGCCTCAGCCACTAGCCTGCATGGTGTACCATAGATAGCATTTGCGGGATGCACGACGAAGATCAAAGGTGCTGCGACAGCAGTGCAGGTGCCGTGATAGCCAGATTGTGCTGTGCTGCGCAATTAACAGGTGGTGGTTCTCTTGAATGTAATTGAGATGGTGAATTGAGTTTCGCGGTGGCTGGCGTGGAGGTGCGGGTGAGAAGATAGCGTCCGCTTCCGGAAGTAAACTATTGACGCTGTCTAAATTTGCCAGCTAACGGGAGATACGAGGGGCGTTTGGGTTGAACTAGTAGGCTGTGCAGTGAGACTTGACCCTCCATTGTCTCACAGATGAACGGACGGTCGCGGTGGAGTGGGTGTATCATTGTAGAGTAAGGCTGGGAGAAGTGCACGGCAGAGCGATAAGAGTAGATAGACACCCTTGCTCGGTACTTTTGTTTCAGAGTGGGTGATGGTGATATTCCCCAACCGTTTAGTCTGGTCGTGGCTTGATGACGAGTCGCGTCTCGGCGTGGAAGAGTGAATGGACCGCGCGTCACTACCTAGGTACGTTGTCTTACTACGCAGCCTAGACTTGGTCCGCCTTTCGTGTGTTAACACCCAGTTTCCATAGCTCTACCGGCACGCATTCTTGATCCTTCATCAATTTGCTTCTGCGACATCTCTCGTCTCAGTTACTACGATACGCCGCACGCTCCACTTGCTCACCACGCGCCACATTACAGCACCAGCTCCACCGAGTTACCCGGCTCGCACGACTCGTTAGACGCTCCGCAGAAAAAACTGGGTATCGCCCATCGTTGCAAGAATGGAGCAAGCGGCACAGCAGCCATCGCGCCCGCGCGGTCTCAGCTTCCACAGCAACAAGAGCAACAAGAGCCGCGAGACTCCCGCGTCGCCCAAAAGCCCGACCAAGCACCAGCGCAAATACTCTGACCACTACGACCCAAACTCAAAGGCGAACCCCAACGCCGCCATGAACGAACAGCAGCCCAGTATGCCGTCGTGTGCACCCTGTCTATCTTATCGTGGCTAACCTGCCCCAGTCGCCGAAGCCCTCACCAAGCCCACTCTCGCCTCTCTCCGCTCCTTCAACCATACCGACTCAGCCGGTAATCCCATTGGTAAGTCGTGTCGTCAGCGCTCTGCACATTCGTCATCTAACCAGTACCAGCCGATCCCGATCTCTCCAACCCCACGCGCTCGCGATGGGAGCGACCACTCGACACGATCCGCTCCTTCGAGGCTGCCATTGATGGCGAATACCGACGCCGCGCGCAGTCAATGCGCGCCGACCAGACCGACGTCATGAGCTACGCGAGCCGACGGAGCAGCTACTATGGCGGCGGCGGCGGCGGATACAACGACCAGAACCGCTTCTCGTCCGTCAGCGGCTACTTTCCGCAAAGACAGACGCAGCGCGACAGCTATGTCGATGGCTACGGCAACGGCGGGCCTGTTGGCGCACAGCCACAACGCATGCGATACGGCAACCGCATGCAGTCTGACCCGGGCTGGAACAAC